TGTTTTAATCAACTCATGGTATAGTTTATAGTTGTTTATTTGGTCATAAAGTTGAAAAACCATGTTTTGAACCATATTTGAAAATATATTTTCAATTTTTTTTATAGATTATATGAATCATGTTTAAATATCTTCCTTATTATGAATAATAATTTATACTGGGTTTAAATTTTTAAATTTTATAGCCTTTAAAATTTTCTAAATTGTATACTCCTATGTTTCAGTTTACAACATGAAATATTAATCAGAAAATAAATCTTATAATTTATGAGATATCTTAAAAAAAGGACTATATATTTTCAAAATTTTCAAAATAAAAACAAATTCACATTTAAGGTATTTTGTGGATTTTGATAATGAGTAATTAAGATAACACTTATATACGTTTGTAAACGGGAAAACCTTATATACTAGAGCTATGTTTTTCAAATTAAAACTATAATTCTGAGTAAAAAAATAAGTTGGAGAAGAAAGATAAGAGGATGTATAAGATCTTATTTTTTAGTTAACATAAAAAGATGAAGAAAAAAAAACTGAGGAAAAACCATAAGACGGAGAAGAGAATGAAGAATATGAAGTAAAAGACAAAGAGAAATCAGAAGAAAATAAAAAAGTCAAATAAGATAAAAAGACAAAGAAATTAAAAAAATAAGAAGAGACATAAAAGAAAGATGAAATTGGAAAAATAAGAAAAATATTAATGAATAAAAATTGAAAGAAAAGATGAAGAAGAAATCAGAAAAGACCAAAACAATGAAGAAGAAATCAGAAAAGACCAAGANGATGAAGAAGAAAAGCAAAATAAGATTAAAAAATTAAAGCTAAAAGAAGAAGGGAGAGTAAATGAAAGCAACACCAAAATAAAAATAAAAAGAAATCGGAGAAGAATGAAAAATAAGCAAAGACTAAAACAAAAGATTTTGATCGCAAGTAAAAAGTTTGAGAAGAAACGAATAATAAATAGAAAACCAAGAAGGAAGGTGAAGAAATGAGAACAAAAAAGAAACCGAAGAGGAGCACAAAGATGAGGAAAAAGACAAAGAACAATAAGATGTCAAATAAAACAAAGAAGATGAAGACAATGAAAAGGAGAAAGAAAAAACTAATTTTCGGT